GTAAGCAACTTCTCCTGCTTGAAGCAGGAACCTTTGTCGCTAGCAGCTAACGCATCAGCCCAATTCTGATTGAATGTTTTTGAAACCTTTTCCCCAACTGTTTCCTGTCTGGTGCTGTCTTCGAACTTGCAAATGGACACGAACTTTTGCGTTTCTTCGACGACATATTTAAGCTTAAATCAGTAATCTACAAAACGGAGAACACCCAGACGAGCTCGTCGACTATACCAAACACAAACGTTTGGTAATCGTTCATACGCGGCAACTTCAGTGTCACGCGGCTTTTACTGAAAGCCTTGCAATACATGTACTTCTCGTGACAACCCGTTGACAGCTATCAATTAATTGAAGATAATTAATGCAAGGAAACGTTTTTCGTTTGTAACTTTGCATGGAATTAATCTTTTTTCATAGAACTTTTTTTGAATAAAAGTTCGTAATAAGATCTATCTGGTAAAGTGAAAAACAATTTCTTTAAAAACTGGTCAACTTTGATACCTTACTGATTGTTTGGGTAAGAAGACAGCGATGGAACTTGAAGTTGGAGAGTCATATCCCTCTTTCCTATCCACAACCAGTTGGTGGTCTGTTTCTCCTGCAGTGTAATTCTGACTTAAACTACTTAAAGTTACCAGTTGATTTTTACAACGAAGCTCTGTGCGCCTGGCAAAAAATGAATTGCAGTACTCCTCAGACCAAAAAGCAGATATTCAATGAAAAGTGTTTGGAACCATCACATTAGAATGGCACGATGCCGAAAATTAACCATCGTCTTTTCTAAGTCTTTTTTCAAGGTAACAGGTTCCTAGCTCTTAATGAATTCTGCAGCAAGTTCAAAATTAAAACAATCTTCTTAAACTACTACGGTCTATGCCACGCAGTCCCTCAAAAGTGGACCAATATTCTCAAAGGAAATGTTACTGAACCTTTGGAAAAACGTTCTGAGAAGGATAAGATATCTTTTAAAAAAAACTCTCTTGCCAATCGGCAACTAAATTCTTTGTTAAAGTAAATTCGTTACGCCTACAGCTGAACGCAACCAGTCTTAAAGAAGATACAATACAATCATTTATATTCTTCCGTTTAATGTTACCAAAGACACCAGACTCGCCATGCATTTTCCGACTCAAAATAACTCATCACATTCTAGGCACAAATTCGATACTTTTTAGAGATTCAATCAAGGAACATGATAAATGTCACCTCCGTGGCGGAATACAAACGTTAACCCATCTTTTTGTTACCTGTTCTGAAGCTCAGTTTTTTGGTCTCTGTTTACTAATTGGTGAAATTCCAAAAACGGAGATACTATAACTCTCGATAAAAATGAAATAATATATGGCGTGACTGATTACTTCGCTCGTCGTCTTGGCTTGAACCTCTGCATGATTATAGCCAAATATTATTTATATACTGCTTCGAGAAGAAGAAGAGTTTTATTTGAATGCCTTCTTAGCGATTCTGACGAATGAAATTAAAATTGAGAAATATAAATGAGGGGGGCGTAAGGGTTTGCGGTGATGCGGTTTTGCGTTATTTTTGGTGCGGTTTTGCGGACATCTTTATTTAAACCCGCGGTATTGCGGTTTAATAAGACTAAGCGGTTTGCGGTTTTCATAAATTTTCGATCGCGATAATCGGTAAAAAAGAGTCTGCAGCCGTCTGCACTTTCCAGTTGTGACAGTTATTACTCGGATCCTGACGCTTCCAATGACTTTTGATCTCTTGTTTACGTTTTGCAAGGGACCATCGTTGTGCAAGCAAGCTCTGCTGTTTGTAATTTCCGTTTTTTCAAGTTAATAATTGGTATGATTAACAATTTTATCTAATGATACGTCGACTTGTTGACTTTCCGGGCTGGGAATCTTTCGCTCGGATTTCCTACAGTATTTGCCGT